TTTTTTTTTTTTTTTTGGTGGAGGAGACAGGGTCTTAAGCAACATGCAGCCTTGGCTGGCCTCCAACTGATGGCCCTCTTGTCTCAGCCTCTGGAGTGCTGGGATTACAAACATAAAGCACCACGCCTGGCGCTTTCACCTTAGAGCCAGCCCCTTCCAGTCAGTCTTCCCCTCCACCTTCTTCTACCTTCCTTAAAGGCGGGCCCTTTCTATTAGGCTTCTCCTCCATCCTCCTTCGAAGTATGCTTTCTTGCCTATCTTCCCAGCACTGCTCCTTCCACCTGTGCGGAGAACTCTCCCTCTATGCCAGCACCTTTTGTGAGGTGGCAAGTGCTCCACCACTGAGCCACACCCCAGCCGGCCAAGCCTTTCTACAGCAGGTCCTCTGTCCTCATCCTCAGCCCTCCCAAGCCCTGCTGATGCTGTCTGCTCAGCACCTTCCAAGGACAATCACCTCCGTTCTCCCACACCATCTGAACCTCTTCCTGGATGCTCCCTCTCCCCAGGCCCCTTCTGAGCTGGCTTCCACTCTCCAGCCACCTGCCATCCAGAGTGCTGCTCCTTTCCCACCATTCCCAGAGGAGCTCACCTGGATCTTGGGCCAGAAACAGTGGGGCTCCACTTCAGAAGGGACAATGCAGAGGTAGGATATACTAGGAAGGATGACGATGAGGTTGGGGCAGAGGTGGAGACTAGAATACAAGGAAGGGAAGGAATTAATCTAAGTTTGGATGGGAGACCCTTATTAGGTATGGCAGGGACAGAAGTTGGAGATAGTGACCAATAGCCCTAAAGATATCCCAGGTGTTCTGGACACAGATGACAAGGACATTGACCAATGCCAGCAGGAACAGGACTTTGACCACATGCCATAGCCAGCTGAAGGCTTTGCTGGGGAAGAGCCGCTGCTGCAGAGTACAGCGGATCTGTGGCCAGAGAAGGGCAGGACAGTGTCAGAACTTAAGTGCTGCCATCATCTGTGCAACTGTGTCTTTAACCCCAGCCTCTGTCTGAAATTTCTGATTTTCCCTCCCACTACCATCTGACAACCCACGTCTCTTCCTTCTGTGTGATTATTTCTTTGTGCTCCCACCTCTGTAAAATCCTCGCATTCTCTCTCTCCCCATCTCCATCTCTGCCTCCTTGCCTCACCATCACCTGCCTTTCTGTCCATCTGCCCACCTGTCCTTCCCTTCTGTGGCAATCATTCCCACCTCCTCCACTGGGAGCCTCTTCATCTGGCCACTTCCGCTTCAAGACTTTTTCTTTCCCTCTTTCTTCTTCATTCTGACTGACCATCTGTCTATGCTTTTCCTCTGACTGGTCATTCCAACCTCTCTCTCCTGTCCAGCCACTCATTTGTGCCTCTCCCTCCAACTGACTCCCTCTTCTCCAACTCTCTGTCATGCCACCCACATCCCCCTTCTTTCTGACCAAATGTTGCCTTCTCTGCCTGACAACTCTGCCTGTCCTCTCTATCCATTGGCTCCTCTGTCCATGCCCCATCTAATGCCCACACCTAAGGCTTCTGACCCTCCAGCCCCGTCACTCTGCTCCCTGGGTTCCTCTCTACCCTCATGCACAGGGAACAGCACAACAGGCACAGTGAGCACCATCGCGAGAAGCACTGCCAGGTGCATGCTAAGGATGAGCAGGTCCTTCTGGCTGTACATGTGCAGCAGCTCCTCCTTCAAGCACACCAGAATCAGTGCCTCCGAAACCCATACCCACATCCACAGTGACAAAATCTATGCATGTGAGGCACCCTCCTTTTACAAACAGGAGGATTCAAGATGATGGGATAAGAGCCCAGAGGTCCCCCACCCACCAGCCCCAGACATGCTTTGGGTAGAAAGTGAGGCACCCAAAGGTACCTCACTGAGTCCATACATGCAGAACACGGCCCCAGTGGACACATTAGCCATGGCCTGCACCCTGCACTGGGAAGGTCTGAGGGGTATAGGCCGTGGAACTGTCATGCCTGGATCCCTGGATTTGGCCTAGTCCCCTCAAAACCAGCCCCACCCCCCAGATTCCCATCTTCCCACACTAACATTCAGCTAGGGCACACTGGTATCCTGCCTCTGGCTTTCCTGTGTCCGAGCACCCATGCCCCACTCTACTCCATATGAGCACTTCCGCTTCTCCCTTTCATCTGACCATCCCTGCTGTCTCTCTGTGATCCCATGCACTTCCCTCCATCGCATCAGCCCTGCCTGCCCCCTTGTCCATGGACCACTCCTGTCTCCCTCCTCATTCCTGTCTCCATCCATGTAGACCAGCACCCCTCCCATGATCAAGCAACCCCTGCCTACCCATTTACATTTGTTCTGTAATTTCAAACAGTAGACATCTCAGGCTCCAGTCCATAAAGAGGCACCACCCTGGGTCCCCTGTAGTCTCCTAGCCTCACAAACCTGTCCCTTGACACAGCCTCAGGACTGCTTCAGGGAAGGTCAGGCCTTATGCCTCTCGCCCCTCCCCCAGCTGGCCCTTCACCATCCCTGACCCACCCACTCACCAGCTCAACTCTGTATAGATGGGCAGCACCTCAGGGTGGCAGACAAAGGCAAAGGCCATGATGGGCACTGTATAGGCCATCTGGGAAACAGTCCAAGCACATGGGACTAAAGCCCACAGGGGACTTGGTGATCTTCTTCCTCTGTCCCTCTAGCCCCATCATCAGCCTCCAAGTGTGGCCTCTGAGGTCAGCTGAGCCCTTCCCCCCACTAGCCAGTTAGTGTGACAGGAACAGGGGTCTCTGTGTAGTGCCCGCTCCTACATGCCCACACACTCACCTGCAAGCCAACTGTGAACATCTGGGCCTCACAGGAGTTGCTGAGCCCCAGGCTGGGGAGGTTTGAGTGACACAGTCTCCACTGCTGTCTTGTTGCAGTTTAGACCACAGCAAATCTAGAGCTTCTTATACATGACCTGGGAGTAGGGCAGCAGGGAGGCAAGGTCACTAGTGCTATGTCCCAGGGTGCTAACCACCCTCCTTTCTCTGACTTACAGAAATGAGGAAAAACAGCATGCAGGTCAGAGAAAGGCTGCTAGTATACCCGAGATAGCCTACAGCAGGCAATATACAATGCCTCAGAAATGGCCACCAAAATTTGAGTGTGGTGGTGCACACTTATAACCCCAGTGCTGGGGAGGCTGAGACAGGAGGATCACTACAAGTCCGAGCTGTATATTGAGACCCTGTACCAAATAAATAAATAAAATATTTTTAAAAGATTTTTTTCAGGGGCTAGGGAGATGGCTCAGTAGAATAAGCGCTTCCCTGGCAAGTGCAAGGACTTGAGTTCAAGCCCCAGTTCTGAAAAAATATATTTTTTTTTTCAGCAGATTAAGCAGAGTGCAGCGGCCAGGGTTCAATCCCAATCGTGCTGTGCTGGCCCCACCCCTGGGGTGCACTGAGACAGTGATTGAGACTGGGCATGTGGCATGCACCTATAATCTCAGCGGGTGAGAGGCTGGAAACAGGAGAATCACTACGAGTCCAATCTACATAGTGGGGACCCTGTAGACCCTGTACCAAATACATTTTTAAGAATTTTTTTTCAAAAATAAATAAATAAAAATTTTTTAAAAAAGAAAAAAATAGAAATGGAAAGAAGCAGTCAATGCTCTAATTAGCTTCGTCTCCTTTTTTTCAATTGTTTGTACTTTTTCTTTTCTTAATTTCTTATACATTGCTCCAGTTTTTTCTTCTTCCAATTTTATGTGTATATATCTGGTAATATGAATAGCTGGTTGTAAGACAATACCATGTATTACAACAAATACTGTGAAAATCATATTACTTTGTTAAGTAAAATTCTGTATGAGTTGTCAAAAATAAATAAATAAATAAATAAATAAATAAATAAATTTTTTTAAAAAAAGAAATTTTTTTTCAAAGAGTTTTTGGGGCTGGGGAAATGGCTCAGGAGAATAAGCGCTTCCCTAGCAAGTGCAAGGGTCTGAGTTCAATCCCCATTTCCACCAAAAAAAAAAAAAAAAAAAAACAAAAAAAAAGTTTTTTTTTAAATTGAACTCAGGCCCTTGCGCTTGCCGGGCAAGCACTTATCCTACTGAGCTATCTCCCCAGCACTCAAAAAGTTTTAAAAGGGCTATGGATATAGCTCAGCACAACAGCCCTGGAATCTATCCTGAATGCCACTAAATGGTAAATAAATAAATGTAAATAAATAAATGCAGGCTCTGAGTTTAAACTAACAGACACATGGACCAACTATCCCAGTGTCTGACAAAATGAGATATACACATACACACCAAGCAAAGGGACTGGGAATGTAGCTCAGTGGCACAAGTGCCTGCCTGGCAAAGCACAAGGTCCTGAGTTTGATTCCTGGTGCACACAACACATACACACATACACACACACACACCAAAAACAACAACAAACTACAAACAAGCATATCAAGCAAAGTAGGGGACCAGTATCAGGGTCAGAGCTAAGAGTCAAAAATATGCAAAGGAGAGGAGCCTGGAGATATAGTTCAGTAATAAAGCACTTGTCAGGCCTAAGAGGGGCTCCTGGATTCTTTGATTCCTAGCACCACAGCCACATACACACACACAAAACTACACAGTTGGATATGGTGGTACACATCTGTAATCCCTACTTCTTGGGAGGCTAAAGCAGGCAGACCACAAGTTTAAGGACAGCCTGCATTACTTAGAGACTGTCTCAAAAAACAATGCCCATTTACACAAATGGAGTCCCACTGCACATAAATAACCAAACAAATTCTGCCACAAGGATGGATCCAGAATCAAATAATCACAATAGCCAAACACACATGCTTGCAGTCACAATACAGAGGACATATACAGGCATAACCAGGAATCACATGTACACACCAGAGAAAATGTACAAGAACAAACACAGACGGAGCTGATTGCATGTGGAAGAAGTCACAGACACAGCTGGCCTGGCTGTATGGCATGTGTGTCCCACCACTGCAGTCAGAGATCATACATTGGGAGCTATGTAGAATCCAGCAGCCTAATGGGCCCAGAATCTGGCTCCCCAAATCAGCTGGACAGGGAAAGTCAGAGTAACCAAGTGTCAGACACGTAAGGCTACAATTGCAGCACGTGGGACACAGCTGTTATCAGTCACACATCTGGCTAAAGAGAAGCAGCCAGTACCACAGTCACAGAACCAAAGCCAGAGTCCATGTCTCCTGGCTATGTGCTGTCATACCCACATGGCCAGTATCAGTGCACAGTGGACACAAAGTCAGCTGCCAGCCTGAACCATCACAAAATCAGCATACGGTCTACTGGACATCTCAAGTCAGCAACAGGCAGATATACATAAATCAGTCTCAAAGTGGAACACTTTGGAGACAGGTAGACAGGCAGTTAAGAGATGATGGTGGCCCTTGAAGGCAGTCAAGGCCTGCAAGCCAGCCAAGGGTGTCATCCACTCATCTCTCACGTTCTTTCCTCAGGAAGGTGCCAATAACCAGAAGGAGTTCAGATTTGATGATTAACAGGTAACAACATGGCTAGTGTAGCTGGGGGAAAGTATAAGCAGAAGGGTTCCTCTCAGCCTCCTGCCCTGTCTGCCCCAGCCCAGCCTCAGAAAGCCCACTTCATTCCACCTTTCCCCCCAGTTGACCCCACCTCCCAGAATCCTCACCCCCAAACACTGTACAGACAGATGATGGTGGCCACCACTAACTTCTCCACAGGCCTAAATGCCCTCTGTCCCAAATACTCATAGGCTCGGATGCCTGGGGATGAGTGAAAGGAATGAGGTGTGGGTGCAGGCTGGGCAGGGAGAGGGGTCCTTGAGGGGACTGGTTCTGGCCATGGAGGCTGGAAGTGAGAGCTAAGCAGCTAGGGTTGAACTGGGGGGGGGGTCAAGTCTGGGAGGTGGCAACTGAGACCAGGAAGAGGTCAGGGGCTGGAAGTGGGGTGTAGAAGTCTTACGATCACAGTGGGGGGAGAGAAGACTGGGACATGGAGGTCTTGGGGCTTTAGGGATGGCATCCACAGTAAGTGAACTGGGGACTGAAGGGTGGAGTTTGAGGTAGAGTGTAGTCTCGGGTAGGGAGGATCTGAGTAACAGTGTCTGATGGCCAGACTATGGGATTGGGAATTGGGGACCTGGGAGCCCAGATAAAGTTTGTGGCCAAGGTTTAGTGTGGGATCTAGGATTTGGGGAGTTGAGTATGAGGTTTGAGGTCAAGGTGGTTATATCCAGTCTGAGGTTTGAGTTGAGATCTGGGGTCTAAATTCAGGAATTGGGTCTGGGACTAGGGTCTACAGAGGACAGAGTGAAAAGCAAGATCCAAGCTCTGGGTCTCAAGTGACTACAACACCAGTGCAGGTGAGCAGGAAGTGGATGGAGTAAGAAGATAGTAGTGCCACACAGAGCTCCAGGGCTCTGAGACAGAATGTGCAGTTCAACCTTGGCCCAGCTCTCTCCCTCACCTACCTCACCATAGCCCCAGTCCCTGGGGCCACCTATAGACTTACAGGAAGAAGACGACTCCCACATACGCTGGATGGGGTTAGGGCAAACAGGGTGAGGAGTAGCCTGAGAAGGTCTGTAGGAGGAAAGAGAAAGCTGTATGGGAAATAGAGTTGAAGATGGGAAAAAAGTAGAGCAGGGAGAGTTGGGAAGAAGAAAACCAGGGGAAACTACAGAGAGCAGCTGGAAGTGGAGAGGAACAGGATGGGGGCAGCATCTGGTCCACTGCTGACCAACTGAGGGCCACAAAGCAGGAATGAAGGGGGCTGGAGAGGGAGTAGGGCATCTGCCAGGAAAGAACAGCTGGGGAATAGTTAGGGAAGGAGACTCATAGACAGGAACAGCTGGAGAGTAGCTAGGGGGCAGCAGTTAAGGGAGGAGATTAGCTGAAGAAGGAGCAAGCCAGACAGATCCTGTGCACTCACATCCCTGAACTGGACTGGCTTCCTCCAAGGAGCTGCACCATGGCTTGACAGGAAGCCCTCAAGTTCCTGCTTGTAAGGAAGGGAGAGACAGCAAGACACAGGGGAAACCAACCACCTGGCAGATGAGATGGCCATTCAGAGCAGGGTCACCTCTCCTCCCAGCCACCAGACTCACTCTGTTCTCCCTGGTGCTCTTTCCTTCCCCATTCCTGCTCCCCCACGCCTATCCCTCCCTCCCCCTTACCCCTGTAGCCAGCCAGCACACTTCTAACAGGGACACACGTTGCCCTCTGCTCACTCCTCCTACTGCCCCCAACCCCTGCTCTTCCCCGCCTGGGCCCAGGAGCCCAGAGATGCTGAACCTGTCAGAAGCAAGGTAGGCGGGCTCTGCAACCCCAGCCCTAGATGTTACATATTGCTTTTGGATTGCTTTCTGAATATCCTCACTGAGGCCAAAGACAAGACAACGCCTCTCTTTCAGGGTCAGAAATGATTCTGGGGTGTCACTAGATAATGCAGCACTTGCCTAGTATGGATGAGGTCCTGGGCTTGGTTCCAGTGCCACCAAAGAAAAAAGTGACTTAGAGATCTCCCATTTAATGCCCCTTCTAGGCCCTAGGGGCATTTTTTAGGATTCTCAATAAGTTTTAAACACTTTTGTAGCCAAGTATAGTGGGACATGCCAGTAATCCCAGCACGTAGGGGACTGAGGCCATTTGAGCTACATAGCAAGACCCTGTAAATAATAACAATAACAACAACAACAATCATCATCATCATCATCATCATCATCATCATAATAGTAATAAACCTCCTCTTCTGGCAGAACTACTTTTGGAGGCACCTCCAGTCTTGAGACCCTGCCTGTGGCATTTCAGGAACCCGATGGAGCAAGAGCTAGGCTTTTGCCACATGCTTCCTGTGTGGAGGAATTTCTGCAAAACCTATCCCAACCAGGCACCTCTGTCTGCAAGATGGAGAGTCTAGAAGAAATTTCTAGCCCACAACAGACTTTCTGGGAATGAGGTAACTGAGAACCTGCCATTCAAGGTCCCCACCAGAGTTAAAACTGGCTCCCGGATTCACGACCCTCTGCAAGTCATGATCTCCTTTCCACAGAGAGAGGGGCCACAAGATGCTCCCTCCACAGCCACGAGCACTCTCCTCCAGGAACTTCCACCACTGCTGATTCACTTCTCGGGACCAACATGTCAAAAGCACACCCTTCCTCTGCTCAATTTCTCACTAACTATACAAAAGTCTCCGAGGAAACTGCTGAACCCTCTTCTGAGAGCCTCCCACGCTCAGATCGCAGTGTCTCCGGGGCCACCTTCCCTAGGGCTCGCACCCTCTCCTCACCTCCTTGCTGCTCTCAGCTCCAGAGGCGGTACCAATCCAATTTGGGTTTAGAGCCCCCCAAGCCAGTTCAGCCCCCTCCCCACCCTTCAGCCAATCTGCTCTGCCCGCCCCTGTTCCACAGCCAATTAGCGTTGGCACTTGCTCCTTGGCTAATCCTCAGGGACCAAATAGTTTTCTTTCCTAAGAAATGCTAATTTCAACTGCGTTTCCCTTCTACTGGCCCTAGGCAGGGAAAGTGGAGGAGGACTGCCCACATCCCGACCCACTAGGAAGGAGAGAGAAGTTAGTGTCTTCCTGATGTCGAGATAGGCTGAAAGATTCAAGGAGTAGATTCACATCTAGAGAGAGGGTCTGGGGAAAAAAGGGAACAGAATTAAGAGATCAGACCTCAGATAAGGAACAGAAAGGAGGAGACGAAAAAAGGAAGGTGAAAAATAGGAGATATAGCGCAGGGTTTGAAAGCTCACTGAAGGGACAGAATGATAGATGGGCTGGGAGGGGAAAGTGAGATGGCATTAACAGGGAGGAAGTGTGGTACAGACAGAGAGACAGATGCCTGCAGCTACTGGAGGAAGGCTCTGAAGAATGGGTCCAGTAATGGAAACATGGCTTGGCAGATGGACAGGTGCATACAGCTAGGCCTACCACCAAACTGAGGTCTGCACCAGATACAACCCACAGAGAATGGGATTAAGACAGGTAAAGAACAGAAGACAGCAGTCTAAGTCAGATTTGGACAGAGAAGTAGACAGGTAGATGGACAGGCCTGTGGACAGCAGTCAGGCAGAGTTAAGACTTAGCCAGGTCATTCTAGGCAGACCTAAGACAGCCTAGCTGAGAAAGGACCCTAGAATTCAGTAACCCCAGAGGAAGGCAGGAAGGGTAGGGGAATAGACACACAATGTCTGTAAACTCTGTGTGTCCCAGAGTCCTGGACTGAAGCTGGGAAGGGGTAAGGCCTCCCTACACAATAACTAAGGAACCCCACTCCCTGGGGGGAGGGGGGCCAAGGGAGATTTTTTTTTTTTTGGCGGAACCGGGGATTGAACTCAGGCCCTTGCGCTTGCCAGGGAAGCGCTTATTCCACTGAGCTATCTCCCCGGCCCGAAAGGGAGATTTTTTTGAAGGTGAGGTCTCAAGGTTAACATGTGCAAAACATCACAACAGCAGGCAGCATGAAGCAGAAAGTGACAGAGTAAGAACATAAGAGAGCTGCCTATGTCTTTGTTGTATAATTCTTATACAGGCTAGCTCATATTTACATTCTTGTACAGTGCTATCTATAAACAGCACATTCACTTACCTGTGCTAAGTCACAATTACATAACTATGTCCCACTGAGCACATGCGCTAGATAAGCAGGGTCACATCCTCAAGTGTCCTTAGGCATCCCTGAGCTTTGGAGCAGTCCAAGTGGTTCACAACACCCTCTTTGAAAACTTGTAGTCTAATAAGATGGAAAATGCAGAAGAACTGGACAGATTTCGGATACACATGAATTACCAAAGCTGAATCAAGAAGATATAAAAAATCCTATCCATACATATGACAGATATATCTATCCCAGGCAAGACATGTATCCTCTACAGGGAGTCAGGCAGGGTGGACCTACGGTTGGGGCATAAATGGACTGGGCTGCTTAAATCCTGGGTGAACAAGTGGGCTCTGGTCTGTCTGCCCACCCCCAACAGGGAGCACAGAATTCCTGGAAAGGCCAAGGGCTGGTTGGCCTTCAAAGCTAGGCTAGATGTTCCCACTCCACCTGCAGCTGGAGAAGGGCAAGAGACCAGGTATTTACTTCCCCCCAGTAGGAGAGATTCCTGCCCACTCAGGAATCACAACTTTATAGCAGCCCCATCTAGACACTCAAAGGTAGGGGGCAGACTCACCATCAGCCACAGAGGCGCAAGCGAGTATGGCCAAATATACATGTGGACTCATAGCCACCCACAGAAAGTCCCAGTGGACAGACATGAACACACTTGGACTCCCAACAGCACAAGAAGAATGCGCGCCCCTGGGATAGTCACATGTTAACAGCCATGACGTAGAAGAAGCCTCACAGGTTTCATCACCCACAGACTCAGAGCCGCACACAGACAGGACAGACTGACAAAAGGATAGGCACACACAGATCTACAGAAAACACTGAGCAACACACATGCAACCCCATACAGGTTAATTTCACGGGCACATTATGACACACAGTTCCTCAAACTGGAAAGAGAAAAGTTGGTAGGCAGCATAGACAGATGACACATGTGGTTGTGGCGGCCAATCTGAACAGGCAGATGACACACACACACACACACACACAACACTCCTACACCTGCCCAGCCCCATCTCCTCTCTCCTCCAGCCTAATCTGATTTTTCCCTTCCCATTCCCCTCCCCCAGCCAGAGCCACTACTCACCATCTATGCTTCAGGTGGGCCAGGGAAAGGTACACCTGTTATCAGAGTCCTTGGCCCTGGTGACTAAGAGGAAGAGGGCAAGCACTGGGTATTCTTGTCTCAGCAACAAGTAACTATGATACTATGCCTCAGCTTCTTTGGGAGCACAAGGAGTACTGCAGAGGACACTGAGAAGATTTGATGAATTAACACAGGTTAAGCACTTAGAACAATGCTTGGCCATCATAAATGCTAATTACATTTTTTAAAAGTTTATTTGGCTGTTGCAGGGTCTCACTATGCAGCTCGCACTTGTGGTGATCCTCCTGCTTTCAGCCTTCCCAGCACTGGACTCTGGCTGGCTCAGCCTGCCCTGGGGCAGAGCTGGCATGGCATGTGGTTTTGGGGATCTAACTGCTGGTGCTTTAGTCCACTGAGCTATCTCACAGGCCCTAAGTAGATATTTGTGAAAGGAACGAATGAATGGTTTTCATGCAGAAAGGCACCCTGGTCTCTCACAGTAGCCCCTGGGTAGCAAGGCATCTTTTCCCAGGCTAAGCCTGCCCCTTGAAGCCAACTCCTTTTTCCCTGGAGCTGTGCAGATGCCCCTCTGGGAAAAAGCTGGTCTGGTAGCTGCCTGCTTCTCAACCTCTTCAGGAGCCTGAGAGAAGGACACCTTTATTCACAGTGGGGTGCCAGGTAAGAGTTGCAGGCTAACACCCTATTTCCAGAAGAGCCTGGGGAGTTCAGAGCCTGGCTCCCTTTCCCTAAACTCCCCTCCCTGCTGAAAGAAAGAAGTTTCTTTGCCAAAACATCCTCTTTTTAAGTTGCAACAAAAGAGAATGTGGGAAGCACCTCCCAGGGTGAAAACTGACCCATTACTCTCCAGTGGAGCTGCAGGCTGGCTGCCTGAACCCTTCCTCTCTCACACTCACTTACCTCTACAGGCAGCTAGGCACCCTCAACTCCACAAGGCCCTTGAGTTTCATCAACAAAACTATTTCTTTGCTTTTGTGTGGTGCTACAGCTCAAACCCATGGCCATGGGCAGGCTAGGCAGGTGATCTACTACGACCTGGCTCTGAGGAACCCTTCAAGAGTCTCTGCATCTCTTTCCAGGACCCTGAAAAGTATACCACTGGTGGAAAAATGAAGAAACATTGCCACAAAAGTGTGATATCAGTAACCATGTATTATTGCAGGTGAACAGCACTATGCCCAGTTCTAGGCACTGTGAGGCAGCAGTGAGCATGACACCAGGAGCTCTTCCTGGTAAAACTTACCTTCAAAGGGAAGATGAATTAGTCTGGCTTGGTGTGGTGACACAAGGCTGTAATCCCAGCACTCTGGGAGGCTGAAGCAGGATGACTGCCAGTTTGAGTCCGACCTGTGCAACTTACTAATTTAAGCAAAACCAGCATCAAAATTTAAAAAAAAAAATGGATGGAGATGTAACTCAGTGCAAAGGTCCTGGTTTCAGTCCCCATTACTATTGCCCCACACAAAAAAAGAATCATTCAGTTCCTTCAATATTTACCAAACTTATTCCACTCAGTTCTGTGGATCGTTTAGGGCTCCTTCTTCCTGAAATTCACTTTCTCCAAATATTCCAGGAAAGCACTCCCCTTTGGGTTTCCACTCAAATGTCATCTCAGAGAAGCATTCTTTGAGCCCCTTATTGAAAAACAACTCATCAAGTGCAGTAGCACACCCCTTGTAGTTCCAGGTGCTCAGGAGGCTGAGGCAGGAAGATCCATCCCTTCAGTTCAGGAGCATAGAGCCAGACTAGGGAGGGGCTTAAAACCCCATCTTGAAAAATGAGAAAAAAAGGCCAGGTGTGGTGGAGCATACCTGCAATCTCAACACTCTGGAGGCTGAGGCAAAGGAGTGCCTTGAGTTTGAGGCCAGTTTTTGCTACACAGTGAGGGCAAGGTGTGCCTGAACTACATAGTGAGACCTTGGTTCAAAAATAAATAAAAAATGGCTGGGGAGATAGCTGAGTGGTCTAAGTACCTGCTTGGCCAGTGCAAGGACCCAGGTTGAATCCCCAGTACTGCATGCCGTGCAGGCCCTGGAACCCCAGATGCTCTGTGCCAGCTACTGAAACTGGGCATGGTGGCATATGCCTATAATCCCAGCACCAGGGAGGCTCAGACAGGAGGATCACTATGAGTCCGAGCTATATAGTGAGACCCTATACCAAATAAATAAACAAATGGAAGACTAAAAAAAAATTTAAACAAATAAAAGAAAATATGGAAAGAAACTTTCTGTATCTTTCACCACACATTTTTGAGACAGAATCTTGCTATATAGTACAGGCTAGCCTTGAACTCACTATATAGCCCAAACTACAGCCATCTTTTTGCCTCGGCCTCCAAGTTCTAGGATTACAGATGTGCACTACCATGACCAACTTTTCTCACCACATTTTATCATTCTTCAGAGTTTCTATCACCACCTGACAAAAACTTATATACTTATTTAATAGTATTTATTTATTTAGCAGTACTGGGGAATCCTTTGCTTTTGCCCAGTTTTTTATTTTTTATATTTTTTATTTTGAGGCAGGGTCTTGCTAAATTGCCCGTGTTGGCCTTGAATCTACAATCCTCCTGCCTCAGCTTTCCAAAGTGCTGAGATCACAGGTGCGCACCACTTTTGCTATATCTATATTTATTACAGCTAATTTAGCAAGTAAATGTATAGGTACTAGCATGTATTTATATTGACATATTCATTTAAACTTATATATAATACTGTAGGTTTTATACAATATATAAAATGTTATATATATATATATATATATATATATATATATATAATTTTTTTGTACCAGGGATTGAATTCAGGACCATGTGCTTGACAGGTAGATGCTTATGTTGCTGATCTATCACCCTGGCAACTATATATTTCTTGCTTTCTTTCCTTTTTTGGCAGAACCAGGGATTGAACTCAGGCCCTTGCACTTATCCTACTGAGCCATCTCCCTGGTCCCTATATATTTCCTTATATTTATATGTAACGTTATTTTTTGTGTGTCTTTTTTTTTTTTAGAGTACTGGGATTCAGTGAGCGCTTCCCTGGCAAGCACAAGGGCCTGAGTTCAATCCCCAGTTATGCAAAAAGACAGAGACAGAGAGAGAGAGAGAGAGAGAGAGAGAGAGAACTGGGATTCAAACTCAGGACACTGCGCTTTTCAGGCAGGGGTCTGGTATCCCTGGCACTTTGGTTTCTTTTTTGAGACAAGCTCTCACTATGTCGTTCTGGCTGACTTTGAACTCACTTTGTAGCCCAGGCTGGCCTCAAACCCACAGTGATTCTCCTGCCTCTGCCTCCAGAGTGCTGGGATTAGAAGCATGCACTAGCGCACCCAGCTTGCAATGCAATTTTTGTATTAATTTTTTTTGGTTCTAGGGTTTGAACTGAGAGCCTTATACATGCTAAGCAAATGCTCTACTGTTATACTACATCCACAGGACTTTCCATATTTTACTTTGAGACAGTATCTTGCTAAATTGCCCAGGCTGGCCTCAAATTTATGATTCTTCTGACTCAGTCTCTGGAGTAGCTGGGATTACTTTTTACATTATCAAGCCCATGTGCCATCAAGCACAGCCTATACAGTAATGTTATACATTGCTCTATTTTAATATAATCATATCTATATCATTAAATGGCTTTTGTATTGATAGGGATTGAATGTAGGTTATCATGCACACTAGCCAAGCTCCCTACCACTAAGCTACATCCACAGTCCAAATAACGTTATTTATATACTTACTATAATTCTTACCTCAGCTCACTCCACTGTAAAGTGGGAATAATGTAAAAAGTAACTCATATGGCTGTTGTGAAGACTGAAATGAGTGAAAAAAATGAAAGAATTTTGTGATGCACTGAGAACAATTTGTACAGGTTTGCAGGAATCACTTGCTCAATTTGCAGGACTTTTGTGAATTGGATGCTAAGCACCTATTTTTTTGTTTGTTTGTTTTTTGGGGTCTTTTTGTACTTTAGGGAAAGGTCTACAGGGTGTTCAGGGTCTCACTACTAGATCAGACTCATAGTGATCCACCTGTTTACAGCCTCCCAAGAGCTGGGATTACAAGTGCACACCATCACGCCCAGTCTCAATTGCCATCTCAGCCTGTACCAGGGGCGGGGCCAGCACGGCAGGCCTGGGGATAGAACCCCTGGCTCCTGAGCCTGCTTGCAGGCCATAAGCAACTATTATAAAAAAGGAAATGTTAGCCAGGTGTGACAGTCCCATCTGTAAAGCAGCATTGGGGAGACTGAGGCAGGAGGATGGAACTGGGTTCAAGGCCAGCCTGGGCTACATAGTGAGTTCAAGCCCAGCCTGAACTACACAGCCTGGCTGTTGTCTCAAAAACAACAACAAAAGATTATAGGCTTCCAATTAAATGTATTAAATTTCTAAATACTCAAAACTCATCACATCATAATTACATTATTGCATTTCACTCATTCTCTATGCTCTTGAGGTGACTTACCCCTACAGCACTTTATCTGTGTGGAATGAAGAGTACTAGTACAGTTCATGTTTAGGGACTATACACAGGTAAACTAAAATCTGATCAAATGATATTGTGTAAACCATGGAAACTAGCAAATGTTAAGAAACCAGGGCCTTCGATAAAAGCTGGTTAATCATTTACAAGCACACCACTGAGAATTCAGGACAGTGCCTAGCACATGGTAAAAGCTACAGAAAATACATCCCAGGAGCCTTTTTAAAACCAAGATGGTACCAAAGGAGAAAAAGGAAGCCCCCACCCCTTCCAAAGCTGAAGCCAAAGCAAAAGCTTTGAAGGCCAGGAAGGCCGTACTGAAAGGCATCCACAGCCACAAAAAGAAGATAGGAACGTTGCCCACCTTCCACTGTCCCAAGACACTGTGATTATGGAGGCAGCCCAAATACCCTCGGAAGAGCACCCCCAGGAGGAACAAGCTTGACCACTAAGCCATCATCAAGTTCCCCCTGAACACAGAGTCAGCCATGAAAAAGATCAAGGACAACAACACACTCATGTTCATTGTGGGTGTCACTCGTGTTCATTGTGGGTGTCAAAGCCAATGAGCACCAAATCAAACAAGCTGTAAGGAAGCTCTAGGACATCGATGTTGCCAAGGTCAACACCCTAATCAGGCCTGATGGAGAGAAGAAGGCATATGTTCGGCTGGCTCCTGATTATGATGCATTGGATGTTGCCAACAAAATTGGGATCATCTAAACTGAGTCCAGCTGACAAATTCTAAATATATACTTTTTTCCCACTTTAAAAAAAAGGAAAAAAGAAATATGTCCCATTACTATATTATGTTTTGTGCACTGGGTTGCAATGCATGTAATCTTTGAAGGATGGGAGGGGCAGGGAGATAGCTCAGTAGAATAAGTGCTTGCCTGGCAAGCACAAGGGCCTGAGTTCAATCCCCAGTTCCAAAAAAAAAAGAGTTAAGAAAGGATAAACAAAGCTAGGAAAGATGGTGCACATAATCCCAGAACTCAGGATGCTGAGGCAGGAGGGCTGCTGCGAATTATATAGTGATTTTAAGGTCAGCCTGAGCTACATAGTGAGACCCTGTCTCCGAAAAAAATAAAGAAAGAAGCCGGGCTTGGTGACACACATCTGTAACCCCAGCACTTGGGAGGCAGGAGGATCGTTGCAAGTTCGAGACCAGCCTCGGATATGAAGTGAGCTTAAGGCCTGCCTGAGCTGCACTGCGAGATCCTGTATCAAAAAGATTTTTTTTAAAAAGACGAAAAAGGTGTGGGATAGTGTCTTAAACAATACCGCTTAACCTTTAATAACGCAGTATATTGTGTATCACTGATTATCCCATTGCCCAGATGGGGAAACCAAAATTCAGAGAGGTCAAAATTAAACACAATGTTACCAACCAGCGGGAGCAGGATTTGAAATTGCATCTCAGTACCTTTCGCGCACAGTATCGCCGCACTTTTTCTGCCGTTCACGCCCCCGCCAGTAATTTCACTTCGCACCAGGAGTAAAATGAGTGGGCTAGGTCATGCCGTTGCATCTTGGGAAATGTAGTTCATAGATTCAGAAACACTCCTCCCCCACCACCCTCAAACACCGGTTCCAAAAAAGGGGGGCGGGGGGAAGTAAGTCGATCTTGGTCTCCAAACAGAGACACAAAGAATCCGTCCTCCAGCGTCGCGACGTTCGGCCACGTAGTACGTGGATTCAGCCGCCTAGTCGTGTTCGTTGCATGCTGGGAGCGGCCGTTCGTGTGACCCGGAAACGTCGGCACCACCTGACTGGATCCATGCGGTAGGTTCGGGTCCCGTTGAGACCGCTCTGGCGCTTTGGGGTTCTGCTATGCCAAGTTGGCCCTGCCGCGGTAACCATTAGGCAGGCATGTGTTTCAGGCCTCCGAGTCAGCTACGAACACAAACCAAAGCCCTGCCAGTTCTCGTCGTTTGGCGCACTTGCCGAGGCTCGGGCTGCTTTCGGACTGGCCTGCTGCCCGCCTGTCCCGCCAGTTGAGGTAGGCCCCAGGGCACAGAGGCCGAGGATTCCAGCCCAGACTGGAGGCTTGACTGCGCTGTCCCTCCCGCAGGGTTAAAAGGAGGTCTGTCCTTGCTTCTCCAGCTGTATAGTGTCGGTGTCTAGTACCTGCTCTGCTGCACACCCAAAGTTTATCTACACATGGGGACTAGAATGCGGGAAGGGGTAGACTGGGGTGCGACTTGTGGCAAAGCCTGGAGCAGATCTGCTGGTCCTGGTGGGGTGGTTACCAAGGTGATCAGGATGCACCCTGAGTGGCTGAAGGCTGTTATTTGGGCGTTGGGTGGACTGACTGACAGGTATCTTTGAAGACTTGACTGGACTGTTGAGGGCCAGTGGGTGCATTTCCTAATCAATCAAGGAAGAGATTACATAGTAAGGAGGGGCTGGGGGTGCGGTTCTGGAGGGATTGATGGTGACTGCTATTCCCCGTGCTAATGCCGAGCAACAGGGTGTAGTAATGAAAATGATAATGGGGAGCGTCTGGAGGGAATTATAGAGACAGGTAAGGGTCACAGCCAAGGGACTAATGAGGGCAGTGATGAAAGAAGAGAGAGAGGCTGATGGGGTGTTCTAGTGACTGGACAGCAAGAAAAGAGGAATAGTATGATGTTGGGATGCAGTCACAGTGGTGAGTAGAGGGCAGGGGAAGAACAGGGAGCAGCAGTGGGAGCCTCAGGGACTAACCAGACCACACCACACCATAGTGACCTGCTACTGGGGACCAGAAGTGTGATCTGAGGCCTAAAGTGGAGGGCTACAGAGAAATAGTCGCACTGGGAGCTAAAATGATGTTTGTGTCACTGAGAGTGCTAAAACTTTCATTTGGAAAGTTTCATTGTCACTGCTCTAAGCCATCAATAATGGTTAAAGGCATAGTAATGAAGGAATTCTGAGGGCCTAATCATTCAAGGGATTGATGAAGTACAATATAGTGTAAATAGATTAAGGAAGTAGGAGGTACACTGAGGTAGTATTAGAGTAACAGAAGTAAAAAGCAAGGATTAATGGGGGCTGAAAGGCTCTGTGATTAAGGGGTAATGGAGACAACTTTGGAGATGGTAAAGGGGATGAGGTAGGTGTAGGGTTGAGAGTTACAGGTTACTAAGTGGAATGTCAGTGACAGTGATAGGTAGATAGGGTCAGTACTCATTCATCTGTCAGGTAAGCATTGAGTTTTTGAGAACTGAGAGGAATGTGATGGAGCCCCTGGGCTGTGGGCTCTAGTCTTCTCATGTGTTGAGTGAGCTGCTGTGTTGGTTGGATGAGCATTGTTTTGGGTGTACATGTTGCTCTCTGCCCTGCACAGGTAATTGGTGGCCCATTCACCTTGTTACTTATCTAGCTGGCATCTGTCAGCAAGTGGGCAAGCAGTGTGAGATGGGACGGACGTCAAAGGACAAGCGGGATGTCTACTACCGGTTGGCCAAGGAGAATGGCTGGCGGGCCCGCAGTGCCTTCAAACTGCTACAACTCGATGAGGAGTTCCACCTCTTCCAAGGTCCTAAGACAAACCACACACCCAGAAGTTGGGGTAGACACAAGATAGACAAGTGGACTTGGTCCCCAGAACTCCCTGTGGTGGATAGGCAGACTTGAAGGGTCTCTGGGGACAGGGAGATGAGTGAGAAGATGGCTGAATCCCCAAGAGTAGGTGGCAGCTGGCAGTGGATAGGCATGGGTGCTCCCCAGTGGAGAGGGACGAGGAGCTGCAGAAGTGGATACAACTGACCAGTACATTTTTGCTGTGTGTGCTCAGGTGTGACTCGGGCAGTCGACCTGTGTGCAGCCCCGGGCAGCTGGAGCCAGGTGCTGAGTCAGAAGATCGGGTGAGTGGTGGGGGCTAGGAGAGGTGGCCTGGGTGATGGAGGGGCCATGGGTGAAAACTGGGCTGATGTGGGCCACATTCTCCACAGGGGTCAGGGGCCTGGCCGTGTGGTAGCTGTGGATTTGCAAGCTATGGCTCCCCTACCAGGTGTGATACAGATCCAGGGAGACATCACCCAGGTGAGGGTGTGTGTGACTGGGGGTTTTGGGCTGGGTGATGGGTAAAACAGAAGAGAGTGCTTAACCGTAGAAACAGAAGTTGGGTGCAGCTCAGTGGTAGAGCCCCTGCTTGGCCTGCAAAATGCCCTAGGTTCTATCCCAAGATGGCAGACACACTCAGAGACTGAAGTAGCCGGCCATGGTGGCACACACTTATAATTCTAGCACTCAGGAGGCTAAAGAAGGAGGATTGCTGTGAGTTCTGGCCCAACTACAGCTACATATTAAGAGCCTATATGAACACCCAACCAGTTTTAAAAAAAAGACTAGCAGCACAGAAACATAGCCAACAGGTCATCATCACAGAGAGCCCACCAAAAGTGATGAAGCAAGCCCCAGAGATGAAATCCAGTATTAGACTAATGTAGCCTGAGAACTTGACTCACCTGAGGCCGTGGTTGGACTTGCAGGTACCAGAGGGCTATGCTGGGTTACTCATCCTCTCTCTGTCTCTTTCTCTGTCTCCCTTTGATCTCTCTGTAGCTTTCTACTGCCAAGGAAATCATCCAGCACTTTGAGGGCTGCCATGCAGATCTAGTGGTGTGTGACGGGGCTCCTGATGGTAAATGAAACAAGCAGGGGGAGGTAACATGCGTGTCCTCTATGTCTCCCACCTTGGCTGACTGTGTCTTTTTCTCTGATCTCAGCTCCCCCACATACACATACCTAACTTAGCTGCCTTCTTTCTGCCTCTGCCTTCTCTCCCATCCACACCCCTTTTTAGGTTTGTTTTTTTTTCTGGTGCTGGGGATCAGCCTTTGCCCTCATACTGCTAGGCAAGGATTCTACCCTTGAGCTACACTCCCAGCCTTCCCTTTCAGTTTTGCTCTTTGTGTCTACCTTCCCTTTTCTCATCCCTCTGCACCTGTCCAATTTCCTTTTACTGTTTTTTTTAACTTTTTTTTTTGTGGTACTGGGGATTGAACTCAGGACCCTGTGCTTGCCAGGGCTACTGAGCTATCTCCCTGACCCTCCTTTTACTGTTTATACTTTTTTTTTGTTCTTTTTTGTTTCTTTTTTTTTATTTCAGGGAAAGATCTACAGGGTGTTCAGGGTCTCAGTACTAGATCGGACTCGTAGTGATCTGCCTGTTTATAGCCTCCCAAGAGCTGGGATTACAGGCATGCACCACCATGCCCAGTCTCAATTGCCATCTCAGTGTGCCCCAGGACCTGGCCAGCACTGCAGACCCGGGGATCGAATCCCTGGCCCCTGTGCCTGCTTGCAAGGGCTTTAATCTGCTGAGCTACTTGGCCAGCCCTTTTGTTTGTTTGTTTGTTTGTTTTTGTTTATACTTTTTAGTCCTCTATTTGTAACACATTTGTTCCAGGATTCTGAGAGGATAAGGCAGGAGGATTCAAGTTCAAGCCTATCCTGAGCAGCTTACCAAGATCCTGATGCATAATAAAAAAAATAAGGCTAGGGAGCTAGCTCAGTGGTCTAAGCACCTACCTGGCAAGCACAAGGACCCAGGTTCAAGCCCCAGTACCACAAGTGGAGCTGACCCTGGGGGAACCCTGGGTATGCTATGCTGGCACCAAAACTGAGCATGGTGGCACATGCCTGAAATCCCAGCATTGGGGAGGCTGAGACAGGAGTATCACTACGAGTCCAAGCTGTATATCAAGACGCTACCCTATACCAAGTAAATAAATGAATAAATAAATAATTTAAAATTAAAAATAAAAGGGCTGGCCAGATAGTTCAGTGGGTTAAAGCACTTGCGTAGGTAGATGCAGAGACCAGAGTTTGATCCTTGTTGCACCATGTGGGCCCTGCCCCCAGGGCACACTGAGATGGAGATTGAGACTGGACATGGTAGTACGCACCTGTTATCCCAGCTCTTGGGAGGCAGAACACAGGCGGATCGCTAGAAGTCTGACCTATATAGTGAGACCTTGTAGACCCTGACCAAAAAAATAAACATAAAATAAAAATTAGGGGGCCGGGGAGATGGCTCAGTAGAATAAGCGCTTGCCTGACAAGGGCCTGAGTTCAGTCCCCAGTTCCACTAAAAAGTAAAATAAAATAAATATAAGAAATAAAATAGGGGGCCTGGCCTTAGCTCAGTTGTTTAAGTGGCTGCTTCCACAAAGCTGTCAGCCTCAGGTTGCTGTAGTTCGATCCCCACAACACTCCAGCCAGGCAAACCACCCCTTAGGGCATTTAGAGCAAAAAAAAAAGAAAAGAAAACAAATAAAATAAAAATAAGCTCAGTGCAGAGACCCTGAGTTCAATCACCAGTACTAGGAAAAAGAAATTGCTAAGCACTTGTTCAGAAAACATGTGAATAGAATTGCCCTTGGGCTGGCCAAATAGCTCAGCTGATTAAAGCACCTGCAAGCAGGTGCAGGCTCAGAGGCCCAGGATCCCCGGGCCTGCTGTGCCGGCCCCACACTCAGGGGGAGCTGAGATGGCAATTGACACTTGGCATGGTGGCTCGCACCTGTAATCCCAGCTCTTGTGAGGCTGTAAACAGGCAGATCACTATGGGTCCGATCTAGTAGTGAGACCCTGAACACCCTTTAGACCCTTCCCTAAAATACAAAAAAAAAAAGAAGTTCCCTGATGTATAACCTCATAAAGGTGATGTTCCATTAGGAGCCAATGGAAAAAGAAAGAGTTGAACCAAACATGGTGGCACATACTTAAAATTCCAGCGCTCAGAAGGCTGAGACAGAAGGTTCACTATGAATTTGAGGCCAGCCTGTGCTACATTAGTGAGACGCTGTTTCAAACACCCCCCCCCCAAAAAAAAAGAGCTAAGTGACATTAAAATGTGGTAAGGCTGAGTGTGGTACATGCTTGTAATCCCAGCTAATCTGAAGGCTGAGTCAGGAAGGTGGGGTGAGAGGAGTGCTGGAAAGGGAGAGGACTGATAGAGGGCATCTTTTAAAATAGAGCTGCCATGATTTGCTAATATCTGGAACTTGGGTATAGAATTTGCTGCTGTGTGAAGCATAGGTATGGGGAGATGGTGGGAGAAGGATCTCAAAGGGAACTGAAGTTTGGGCCAGAATACCTAGAAGACCCAGGTGAGATGAAGAAGGAGCAGGTTTAAACAAGGAGTCCACGAGTTTGGACTTGGACTTAATGGACCTATAGGATCCAATCTGTGAATTGAACTCATAGGGATCATCTGTCATTGCTTAAAGTTATTTTAGAATTTACATTGACTTAGTTCCTAAGGGTTGAGAGTTCCAAACATGTGTCCAGTTGGCGGGTAGTAATGTGTACCCAGAACCTTAATAAGAGCCTCAGAATGTTGTAGCCATCTAATCTCTCTGGTACAAGAAGACGCTTACAACCCACTAGGGTCTCTAATGCTGTTCCTCTCACCACAGTCACGGGCCTCCATGATGTTGATGAATACATGCAGGCCCAGCTCCTGCTAGCTGTGAGTAACCCTGGCTGCCCCTGCCCTCCTTTGGCCCCCTCCTGCCTGTCTCCCCTGAAGTGGCCTCAGCCGTCTGTCCTGCCCACAGGCTCTGAACATTGCTACCCATGTCTTGAAGCCAGGGGGCTGCTTTGTGGCCAAGGTATGTGTTGGGGAATGTGGTATCATGGAGAGAGAGTTTCCTGAAGGTCACCTTTGTCCCATCTCAGCCTCTGCACCCCACAGATATTCCGAGGCCGGGATGTGACGCTGCTCTATAGCCAGTTACGAGTATTCTTCTCCAGCGTGCTTTGCGCTAAGCCCAGGAGCAGCCGAAATTCCAGCATTGGTCAGTGGGGTGGAGGCTGGGCAGGCAAGGCGACACTTGGGAATGCACCCTGCACAAGATGGAGGTGGCAGTCTGTCACCCCTCAACTCACATCCCCCCACAGAGGCCTTCGCTGTCTGTCGGGGTTATGACCCTCCTGAGGGCTTCGTTGCTGACCTGACCAAGCCTCTGCTGGATCACTCGTACGGTGAGAGCCAGAGCTAGGGGCCATACCTGGAATGCTGTCTCCCACCTCATGAACTGGACATCTTGAGGCAGCCTCAGCCCTACCTCAGGGAAGTCTCCACTTGACTAAAGGAGTTCTGTCTTAGGAAGATCCTCAGTCATACTGTACTGTATGTCCCAAACTAGAAAGGTCATCCATGTCAGACTTTTGCCCCACTGATACGAGGTTCGGGCAGTGTATAATAGAATGTAAAATGGACATGAGTGCCTGGAAAGATTCAGAGCAGGGGTGTCAGAAGGGGTGGTGGAGGGTTCCCCAAAGAGATGGTGACCTGAACTAAAGGGGAAGGTGGCTGGGGGCTATGTTGGGAGGAACAAGCACCCAGACTATGGCCTGAGTCGTGACTGGTCCTGTCCTCAGTCTTTTCCCTGCCTTCTCCTAAGACTCAGATTTCAACCAGCTGGATGGTCCCACCCGCATTATTGTGCCTTTTGTGACCTGTGGGGACCTGAGCGCCTATGATTCAGACCGCAGTTACCCACTGAATGTGAGTGCCCTGCCAGTGGGAGGGGACATTCTCCTAGTTCCCAGGGCCTCATGGTCTCCTGCCTCTTGTGTCTGCAGTTACAGGATGGCTCCGAGTACAAGTATACTCCACCCACACAGCCCCCCATCTCACCTCCATACCAGGAGGCCTGCACACTGAAGAAGAAGGGGCAGCTGGCCAAGGAGACCCACCCCCAGGACTGCCCCATCAGCAGAGTGGATGCATTGTCTCAACCCCTGGCTGCCATACAATGCCACACCGTGCTGGGCCCTGAGGTCTGAAAAAATGGCTCTGAGCCTACGCTGACCCCTTCCCAGTGTGTCTCTTTCTGCCCTGAATCTCATGGTCCCTCTTTTCATGCTTACCAATAGCTATAAAAATCAATGGGTTAACTTAAGCATGATGAATGGAAAGAAAGATTTAGCCATGTATCTGAGACACTTTTTTTTTCTTGGCTAGATAAAGGACAACAAAATGAACTGTACACCTTAACACGTTAAGGTAAGTCTGCCTTTGTACATTAGGGTTAGCGTGAAGGGCATCTATAAGAAAAATCTTCATAAAATATAACTTTTCCTTTTTGAGATGGGCCTTGCTACTTTGCCCAGGTTCATCTGAAACTGCTGGGTTCAAGCATTCTTGCCTGCCTCAGACTCCAAAATAGCTAGGACTACAGGCTTGTACCATCATATCTGGCTTGGTTTCACCTTTGAAATGTTGCATCAACTAAGATTTTAGTCAACAGATACTTACTAGACATTGTTGCTGTCTGCTAGGAACTACTTGAAGCTTTTACATATTCCATTTTGAGGCAGGCAGTATGTATTTGTTGAGGACTTACTGTATGCCAGGCATTGTTCTATAATTGAAGATAGAGGGGGAACACAAATAGTTCAGTCCTTATAGAGCTGCTAATTTTGGAAAAGAGTAATAAATAAAACGCTATGAGCAGGCACAGTGTTGCAGTGCCTATAATCTAGCTACTCAGGACGCTGAGGCAGGTCGATTGCTAGTTGGAGTCCAGCCTAGCCAATTTAGCAAGATTCTTTCTGAAGGTAATAAGAAGACTTGCATTGTAGTTCAGTGCAGAGTGCTTGCTTAGTTTGTATGAGCCCCTGGATTCAATCCCAACTACCACAGAGGAAAAATCAGTCTGAATACACAAACACACTATGTAGCTTTTATTTCACATTTATATATCTTGGCAATAGTCATATACTATGTAATGACATTTTTCTTCTGATAATGACATTTTGGTCAGTAGCAGACTGCATACACACCAGTGGTCCCATATCATGTCACCTAGTGATGTCATCTCTGTGTAAGTAGTATGTAAAAGTTATGTGAATATGAAAAATAGAGAAAATAAAACAGAATGGAACCAATTAGGAGTTCTACATAGGTATAGCTGATTGCAGTTTCAAAAGGGCTGTCATGGAAGGGTCTCCCTGGGTAATGTTTAAACAGAAACTTGACACAGTGGAGAGGACACAGAAGAGTTCCAAGGATGAGACAGTCATGACTGGTGCAGTTGACCCATAGCAAAATTTGGTAAGCCCCAGGTGTTGGTGGATGTCTTGTTTTTTTGACAGTGCCCTATCAGGTTATTCTGACTAAGCCTTCTCTTAAAAGGAGACTTTTTTTAAAAAAAATGAAATTACAGCTGAGTACAGTGGCACATTCGTGTAATCCCAGCACTTGGGAGGCTGAAGCAGGAGGATCACAAGTTCCAGCCTAAGCCAGGCCTGATGGCACATGCCTACTGGAGGCTGAGGCAGGTGTTCAAGGCCAGCCTGCATTGCATAGTGAAACTGTGTCTCAAAAAGACAAAAAATGTTCCAGCCCAGTTAAAAAGATGGGCAACACTAAACATTTGGAAGGATATATAACAATTGCAATCTTGGTCCATGCTACTGGGAGCATAAAATAGTACCACAACTATGGAAAGCTGTCAGGAGAGTGTGTGTGTGTGTGTGTGTGTGTGTGTGTGTGTGTGTGTGTGTATTTAAGACGGTCTTAGTATGTAGGCTGGCTTTTTTTGTTTATTTGTTTGTTTTAGCAGGCACTTAAAACACCTGAGCTAATAGGCAGGCCCCCGTGGATTTTTTTTGGGGGGCCTCCCACTCAGGTTGCCTTCAATCAGTAGTGGGCTGTGTGCCTAGCATATATGAGGCCCTGAGTTGCATCCCCAGCAGTGCATGAGAAGAGGAAGTAATAGAATACTGGGAAGCACTCTGCAGTACCCCATTAAATCATGGTCTCTTCATAGTGAAGAACCACACAGCAATGAGAGTGAACATCCTACACCTACATAAAATAACAGCTTAGGCAATCCCTCTATGTTTTATGCATTTTCTGTGTTATTGATTGCAGTAAAAGGGAGAAATAATAGGGACTGGCGAGATAGCTCAGTAGAATAAGCACTTGCCTGGCAAGCACTGGGTCCTAAATTCAATCCCTAGTACCACAAAAAAAAAATAGAAGAAGAGAAAGTGGGAGGGCCGGCGAGATAGCTCAACAGACTAAGCGCCTGCTTTGGCAAGCACAGGGACCAGGGGTTTGATACTTGGTCCCACATGTTACACTGGCCTCGCCAAGCCTTGAAGGAGTGCAGGTATGGTGGTGCACGCCTGTAATCCCAGCACTGGGTAGGCTGAAAACAGGAGGATCACTGTGAGTCTGAGCTGCATAGTGACACCCATTACCAAAAATACATTAAAAATGGAAAAGAAAAATAAAGTGAATTTTTTTTTGGAGGATGCTAATATTAGCCATAGGGCCTTGCATTTGATAGGCAAGCACTCTGCTACTGAGCTGGGGTTGCATCCCCAGCAGTGCATAAAAACAGGAAGTAATAGAATACTAGGAAGCATTCTTTGTAGTACCCCATTAAATCATGGTCAGGCACGGAGACACTCTGGAATGAGGTCTGCACAAGATGGAGGTGGCAGTCTGTTACCCCTCAACTCATATTCCCCTACAGAGGCCTTCACTGTCTGTCGGGGTTATGACCTTCTGAGGGCTTCATTGCTGACTTAACCAAGCCACTGCTGGTCCACTCATACGGTGAGAGCCAGAGCTGAGGACCTCAGGAATTTGTACAACCCAGAAATATATGTCAGAGGTGTCCACACAAGATGGAGAGACCCCAGGCAAATCCACCCCCATTAGAGAGTAACTTCAACAGTGTCCAGCAGGTTGAGGAGAGATTTATTTTTGTCTCACCTGTTTTTAGAGGTCTTTCTAGTTTTCTGGCTTCAGGGTAGACAACTATCCCTACCGCCTGAGAACATGCAATTTTGTTTAAATTTTTATTTTTCTTTGACTTTCAGTTTACTGGAAAGCTAACAACTGAGAAACTGCTGCCTATCAGGAAAAGCAGAATTTGAGTTGAACTTGTCCTCAGATATCATCAACAAATCTTGAAGACAAACCAGGAATGGGACTCTGCAACAGCCATTTGAGACACAGTGCCCAACACCTACAACTTAAAGGAGGTTCACTTTGGCTCACATCCTTTAGTGCATAGTTGACTGGCAAGGAAGAAAGGCATGGGAATAGCATGGGTGATTACATTTTAAACAGTTCCAGCATTATTGAAAGTTCAAGTCCAAAGCTGCCTCTGAGACTCAGAGCAAATGCTTAGGTGTGAGCCTGTAAAAATAAAAAGAAAGTTAACATTTGAACATTCCCATTCCAAAAGGGAGGAATAGGGAGAGAAAAAGGAATGGGACCAATACAAGAATGAAGCCCAGCATTAAATGCTTAGCTCCATGTCTAATACTTGGGCCAACTCGTAGCAAGATGGAAACTCCAAATTGTTTGGGTGGCCCCACCCCTGTGGCTTTGCCATTTGAGCCCTAATGATTTCTCTTTTGGGATGGCTTTGCTCATGATGTTCCCTTTTCCTGGTATCTTAACTTCCTGGAGTCTCTATTGCACCTCTAGCTTCACTCACAGCTTCATGCACTGATCTCCCAGGTCTTCTAAAATCTGAGTGGAAGCTTCCTGGACCCCTAAGTCTTGAGTTCTATATGCCTGTAAAACCAGCACCAACGGATGATGCCAAGGTCTGCCGCCAGCTCAAGGGGTAACTGGGCCCTTTTATGTCATCGTTGCAACGGCCCCCAGTTCCTCGATGGCTGAGCACTGTGAACCAAATCCTAGGGAACCAATTTCCTAGGTAGCCCTTCTCCAGCATGGTGCCCTGAGGTTCTTGTCTTCAATACACTTTTGCCTCAGAGGGGTGGAGTTTTGCAGATTTCTGAGGTGCCCTCAAGGCATCTTTCCTATTGTCCTAATATAAAGTATTTGGCTTCTTTATAATGCTAATCTTTTTAGCAACTCAGCTTTCCTTGGCCAAAACTTTATGGCCTCAACTTTATAGGAACTTCCTTTTTGGTAAAAACTCAAAACTTTTAAAACCACTCAGCTGATCGTTTGCTCTTGATTCTCATTATACATCTGGGTAAAGGCTGCGAACCGTACCCATGCCTCAGCCTCACCATTGGTCTGCCTTGAAATTTCCTCCCTCTAATTTAGTAATCCAGTATCTTTAATCTCAATCTCCTGCTAAATCTCAGAATATAGACAGAAATTTTGCCAACATATAATACTAATGGCCTGGAGACCAATTGTTGGTAGAGTCCTTGTTCCCAACTGAAATCTGAGCTGGCCTTAATGGCATCTGCCTTTTCCCATTCTGGTCTTCTAAACTCTCACCACAGTCTCTCATCAAGCTTGGCTTTACAACACTAGGGCTTTTCTAACTGACATGTCTAAGGCTTCTAAACCACGAGGCCACAGCAATGACCCCACCCCATTTTATCAAAATCTGCCTTAGTCACTTTCTTATTCCTGGGATTCAATGCCTGACACCAGATTGAGGAGAGATTTTTTTTTGACTGACCTGTTTTTAGAGGTCTGTCTAGTTGTCTGGCTTAGGGGCAGAAACTGCATGGTGGAAGGGCCTATTCTGGAAAGAGGCTGCATATATTGTGGCAGCTGGAAAGGGAGATCCACCCTTTGGGTCACTCTCCCAGGGACCTGCCTCTTCAGACCCGACCTCCTCTCCTAATAGCAAGTCAGCTATAGAGCCTCCCCCCATAATTCATAATTCATCACCTACCAAACACATGAAGCTTTGAGGGCCATTTTAGATCTAAACTATAATACTCCATGAGGAGAACAAGGAAAGAAAGAGGTCTGCTGTGCTGTGGTGAGAATTTCTTGAGCTTTGCAAGGACTTGCCTCTTGTAAAACCTTTTGGATATGCTTTTTTTTCTTTTCAAAGTTTTATTGATAAACATATAGCAATGAGACAGTTTCAAATCAAATCGAAAGTACAGTTTCAACAAATAATACACTGCATATATTCTTCTTAGTGGTTAATTGCTGTACAAGATGCAGACTTGTGATCCTATTTACAAACACCATTAGAACAAATCATTCTATTCATTAAGAGAATGCAACTATATATCTATCCCAACCACTTTGAATACACAGATACAAAATGGACATTCATAGTTATACACCTTTTGGATATCCTATGTCAGAGGTAACCATAAATTTGAAGGAAGGAAATATTTTACCTTTATTTCCACTAATCTATCTGAAATTTAGCTTTACTTTCAGTTACAGATACTGGTTAAAAAAATCAGAAGTAGTTTGCAGTTTTCCCACTGTGACAAATCATTTTTTATGTCACAAGAATGTTATAGGCATGTTGAAATATTGACATTCCTCACCACTTTGGGTGATAGTAGATCTTATAATTTTATGTTCTATTAAAAAGCCCCTTTAAGGAGCCAGGGAGATGGTAAGTAGAATAAGCGCTTTCCTGGCAAGTGCAAGGGCCTGAGTTCAATCCCCAGTTCCGCCAAAAAAAAGCCCCTTTATGGTGGTGTATGTCTGTAATTGCAGCATTTGGGGGGCTGAGGCAGAATTGTAGCAAGCTCAAGCTCAGCCTGAATTACATAGCGAGATCATGTCACAAATACTGAAAAATAAAAATCCCCATTATTACTGTATCTTGAGCTTGCTTCTGTTGAATATATAATAATGATTGTTTATTAAAACTAGTTTCCATTAGAGTCCTGAGTGTGTGTGTGTGTATGCGCTCATGTGCACATGTGCGAGCATTCATACTTACCTATATGTGCTTTAAAATATTGAATGGTGATGCTATGAATGTGGCTCATAGGTGGAACACTTGCTTAGCATGTACAAGGCCCTGCTTCCATCTCCAGTACTACAGAAAAAATTTCCTTCATTGAGTGTGGTGGCACACACCTATAATCCCAGCACTAATCTAACCCTAGCACAAACGCAGCACTCAGGATACTAAAGTAGAAGGGTCACCACAATTTTGAGGCCACCTGAGCTACATGAGTAAAAGGCCAGCCTGAAGTATAGGAAGACCCTATAAAAATCTCTAAATGTCAGAAAGTCTGCCTTGATTGCAGTCATGAAGCTGCAATTTAGCAAACAAGAACCAACCCTGTGTTTGGATACCTGTGTTCTCTGTGAACCAAGGACTTTCTACCCTCTGTAGTCTGTGACCCCAGGTATTTTCTTAACTTGGTTGTGACCTGAAGAGTGGCTACACCCTGGTCTGGCCCCAAGAGTATATACCCTCAAGGTTGTGACAAGCAGTGTCCACTCTACTTCTGGAGACAGTATTTAAACTTGAGTATGTTTATTGGTGTATCTACACGTCAGTCTCTGATGACAAAAACTGTACCTGTCTGACTCCAGTAATGTCCATACCCAACTGCATATGTCTAAGTGTCCCCAGCACACTGATTCATCCAAGTCCACACCCTAGTCTTTTGGCCCCAGGAATGTCCACACCCTAGTCTTTTGGACCTCAGGAATTTGCACAACCCAGGAATATATGTCAGGTGTCCACACAAGACGGAGTGACCCCAAGCAAATCCACCCCCATTAGAGAATAACTTGAACAATGTCCATGCAAGAGCCTGTGAGAGTCCATGTTTGGTGAGTTTAGCAGCAGCGGTGGCCTAGTCTGCAGGAGTTTCTACAGCCTATTTAGTGGCACCACGATTGTGAATACTGCAAATGATCACAGAAATGTCCACACTCCAGTCTGGGTGAATGGAGAGATCTGCTGTGCTGGTGTTTCTCCAACTTTTTTTGGTCAAAACTACAGAAAAAATTTCCTTCATTGAGTGTGGTGGCACACACCTATAATCCCAGCACTAATCTAACCCTAGCACAAACGCAGCACTCAGGATACTAAAGTAGAAGGGTCACCACAATTTTGAGGCCACCTGAGCTACATGAGTGTGCTGAAAGGGTGAAAGGGTGAAAGGGTGTGAAAGGGTGCTGAAAGGGTGAAACTTAGCCTTACTGTAAACTAACTCTTTAAACATTTCAATCTGTAGTGTTTGTGCCCTTAAGGCATCCTGAGCCTTCCCCCCCAAAAAAATCCTTCAATCTGTAGTGTTTGGAAATGTTTCTGCCCAAGGTCAGAAGCCTCAGAAGCGTTCCCCAGTCTCTACACTCCAGGAGTGTCCTCTGCCCAGTCAGTATGATTCCAGGAAGGACATTTATAAAGGGATACAGGCAAAGGGGAGCCTGTGCACAGGCCCTGAGACAGAAGGGTGCGTGACAATTGAGGAACAGCAAGCTCACTGAAGTTGGAGCAGAATGGAGAGATCTGGTAGAAGGAGGTAAGGTCAGAGAGGGCCTGCAGGGACCTTCATGCACCAAGGAGAGGACTTTGGCTCTTCCTCTGAGAGATGGAAGTCATTCAGCACAGAGGACAGTGAGCTGGCAGGTTTTGTGCCAAGACACCTCTGGCTGCTGTGCTGGTGTTTCTCCAACTTTTTTTGGTCAAAACTCAGAACTGTGTGCTGAAAGGGTGAAACTTAGCCTTACTGTAAACTAACTCTTTAAACTATAACTTTTTAAAAAATATTTTGTGTTCAATAAAAAATGCTATGACAACCTGGGGGTGATGGTACACACCTATAATACCAGCTACTCCAGAGGCTGAGGCAGAAAGACTACAATTTAAGGCCAGCCTAGACAACTTGAGTCTCTGTCTCAATTAAATAAGGATTGGGGTTGCAACTTACTGATAAAACACTTACCTAGCATATTTGGTGCCCTGGCTTCAACCACCAGCACTACCAAAAAAGAAAAATCTGTCTACAAAAAAGGCAGTTGAGATGAAGCTGTCGCTTCTCCTTTGTTTTCTGCACAGATAAGGTCGGAGGCCACAGGTGCACCTGCAGAAGCGCAGACCCTGATCACTGCTTGGGTCTGCATGTATGTGCACCCCTAGGTGCCCGTGAACATGTGTAACTATACAGGTGCATGTTTGTCCCCGAGTTCAGGTGTTTCTACACCCAGACCCTGTGTGGCCAGGTGTGTGTATGGAAGTGATCAGATGTGCCCATAGCCCCAGTATTATATATCTACGGGTGCCCATGCCCACAAATGGAGGTGTACCCACAGGGCTAGACCTGTGTGTGTCCTGGGGCCTGTGCACGTGTGTCCATGTTGGAGGTGTACCATAGCCTTGGGGTCTGTGCATGTGTTTAGCTGTGCCCATACCCTTGGATCTTGTTACCTGTGTGCTTGGGGAAGGGCACCTGCTACTGCTAAATCCCCAATCTGGTGCAGATGGACAGCACCTTTGAGAGAAT